GACATCCCAAATGTTTTAAAAATGGATAAAAACACATTTCTTCGGAAATGCTTTGATAACCTATTTATCATGTTTTTTTTTTCTAGGAACAAATTCTGCAACATTTTTATTAAAAGAGGTACTCTGATTTTTATAAAGAATAAAAAAAATCGGTCTTTTCTAGCTGAGAAAATGGGGATGTCACATATGGACTCTTCACAAAGCCATCCTTCTGGAAGTGCTCATCTATTATTGTGTTCCAGGCTCTTGGATCTTGCTTTAAACCATATAAGGCTTTATTTAATATCTTCTTGACCTTTTTTGAACATAACCTTCAGGTTTCTCACTATAAACTTCCTCTTCAAGATATCCATTTAGGAATGCTGACTTCAAATCCATCTGATAAATCATCCACTGATTTTGAGCTGCAATTCCTATCAAAAGTCTGATGGTATCGAATCCTGCTACTGGAGCAAATACTTCATCATAATCAATTCCATGTCTCTGCTTGTAGCATTTTGCAACTAACCTTGCCTTGTACTTTTCAACTTTTCCTTTCTGATTGGTCTTTGTCTTATAGATCCATTTGACACCGATTGCTTTGTGTCCCTTTGGAAGGCTTGTAAGCTCCCACATTTCATTCTTCTTGATTGAGTTGGTTTCTTCATCCATGGCTTTACTCCACTTGGTTTCTTCTCTAACTTCTTCATATGTTACTGGATCACATTCAACCATCAAACAAAATAATGAATAATCAAATGGGGTATCAATTGGACATGTTGCATCATATATGTCTTCTAGACTTCTTATCTTTGGTGGTACTCCCCCTGAACTATTGTTGTTGCTGCTACTTTGTGATATTGATGGTGTTGATGCAGGAGTCGTTGGACTGGGACTTGATGGAGGAGTCTGATCATTGCTTTCATCATCTGGTGTGTTGAAATCATCATCATCATCATCGTCAAAGAAGAGACCTTCAATCTTTCTTTCTTCGTTGCTCCATCTCCAATAATCAGCTTCATCAAATTCAACATCTCTTGAAATAATAACCTTTTTCTTCAGTGGGTTGTATAACCTATATGCCTTGCTGCTTGTATCATATCCAATGAAGATACACTTCTTGCCTTTATTATCTAGCTTTTTTCTCTTTTGATCAGGAATATGGGCATAAGCAATACATCCAAAAAAATTTAGACCAACTGATGGTTTGCGACCACACCATGCTTCATCTGGAGTCTTGAATCTTACACTTTTAGTTGGATAATGATTCAACAAATAAACAACACATAGAACGGCTTTTGCCCAAAATGTTCTTGGCAAATGTTTTCCTTTTACCATGCTTCTCGCCATATTGAGAATTGTGCGATTCTTCCTTTCTGCAATGCCATTTTGTTCTGGTTTATATGTTGTTGTTAACTGATGAATGATCCCATGTTCTTTACAAAAGTCATTAAACAAATTTGATGTGTATTTTCCTCCTCTACCAGAACTGAGTATCTTCAAATATTCTCCACTTTGCTTTTCGGCCATTGCTTTGAATTCTTTGAGCTTATCAAGAGTTTTTTATTTTTCTTTGATGATGTACACCCAACTTTTTCTACTGAAATCATCAATGAATGTTAGGTAGTACCTTTTTTGACCAAGTGAAGGTATGTCGTATGGTCCAACAATATTTGTATGAAAAACTTTGTCGGTGTTGCTTTCTTTTGATACATGCTTCACATAAATGATCTGGTTGATTGATTTCTAACAACCCATTCACCATCTTTGCTTTTGATAACAACTTTAAACCAGAAAAACCAAGGTGACCAAATCTTAAATGCCACAACCATGAGTCATCTTTAATGACAGTCTTCAAACCCCTTTGAACTTCTGTCTGTATGTTAACGAAGAACAACCGATTCTTTGACATTTGAACTTTAGCAATCAATTCTTGAAATTGATTTTTGACTGCAAGAGAATTATCTCTCATACGAATATCATATCCCCTTTCAAGAAGCTGACCAATACTAATGATATTCGTTTTCAAAGCAGGTACATAATAAACATCATATATATACTTCTTATCACCATTATTTGTGAGAATCATAATTATACCTTTGCCTTTGACGAGAATCTTTGATAAATCACCAAAGCTAACGTCTCCATTGACTGCCTCGTCCAATTTCACAAATAGATCTTTATAACCACACATGTGGTTACTTGCACAATTATCAAAATATCAAATATTTTTCTTTCCTTCTTCATCTCCTTTGTATGTGAGAAATGCAGCAGGTCCAACATCTTTATCTTTATCTTCAGTTGTTGTTATAAAGTGACTTCGTTCTTCCACTTTTAGATATTTGCATTCATAACTAAAGTGACCATAATTATTGCAGTTATAACATTAAACCTGAGATTTGTCACTTTGTTGTTGAAACCATCCTCTTCATCTTTCTCTGCTTTGAAATCCTCGATCACGACCAGAGAACTGATATCTTTCAGTGGGTTGATATCTTTCATTTTCTTGACTTCTTTCAAAAGATTGTCTACCACGACTTCGTCTACTAGGTCCACCTCTGTAACCACCACGATTTCCTCTGCCTCGTATGTTTCTGCTACTAGCCTGGTTTTCATTAATGAACATCTTGCTTTGTAAAGCTTGCTCCAATTTTCTAGTATCATCATTTTGATTTATTCTTTGTTCATGGGCTTGAAGACTACCCACGAGCTCATCCATGGAGATTAAGGACAAATCTTTTGATTCTTCAATAGCTATGACTACATAATCAAATATTATGATCAATGAATGAAGTAATTTTTCCATTATCCTTATTTCATCAAGAGCTTCACTGTTTCTTTTCATCTCGTTCGCCACCGTTTTCAAACGAGTAACATAATCATTTACGCTTTCTGAAGTTTTCATCTTTAATGTTTCAAATTCAGCACAAAGTGATTGGATTCGTACCTTTTTCGCATTTTCGGCTCCTTGGAGTGATTTCTGCAGAACCTCCCAAGCTATCTTTGATGTCTTTGCGTCTGAGATTTTCTCAAAGGTTGATTCATCAACACCTTGGAAAATAAAAAATAGAGCTTTCTTATCTCTTTTCCGGAACTCCCTTAACCTTGTCTTTTGAGCATCTGTTAAAATTGCTTCAGCAATTGCATCTGTCGGCCCCACATATCCCTCTTCAACTATATCCCAAATGTCTTGAGAACCGAGTAACACCTTCATTTTGAGTACTCCAGTTCCCGTAATTTGTAGCCGTCAATTTTGGAATTTGAGGCTGAATCATATTCGCCATCTTTTCGTCATCGAACAGAACCTCGACTCTGATACCACTTGTTGGTGGTTATAAAGAAAGACGATAGAGTAAAATTAATCTAACACAAGAACAACTCAACTATTTAAACGAGAGCTACGGCTCCGTTAACTTTTATTTCACTTACTTTACTTTCTTTCTCACTTACATTTTTTTTAAGGTTAAGTAAAACTTAATAATGAAGTATTCTTAATGGTTAAGAATGCTTCATGACTAAGAAAACTTCATAACTAAGAATACTTAATGCTTAAGAAAATGTAATATCTAAAGAAGACTTAACAACTAAGAAAGTTGTTGATAACCATTCTTGACTTTTATTTTTAACCTCTTTTTGTTGACTTGTGTTGACTAAGTTGGGTTTGACTTTTAACATCGACAACGTTCTATGCTTTTTAAAGCCCTCGTTTACAATCATACATAAATTTCACATCGTAAATAACGTTTTAATAAATCATTTAGCTGAAATCACAAATCAATACGAACTACAGACAACGGAAATGAACCAGAATTATTCTGCTTATAAATGAATACCTTACTCGATTGAAACCGACTAAGAACCCTAACATTACAGCATTAGAAACATAAAATCGAATTTATCATACGCAGATCTTAAGGAAATGATTAAAACAGATTGATAACGCGACCTGCAAAGTAATAAGAAAACTAACCGATCGATCGATTAGAGGAGAAACGTGATCAGAGAAGTCCGACTCATAATCCATGAATCTGATTTCATGATAGAGCGATAGAAATTTGATAGATAACGGTTCGTAGAAACACCGTTCTGGAGAGTTCTGAATGAACTGTGAGGTATGTATGAGATATGTATGAGTGTGCCTGCGGCGCGTGATAGCTGATTTGTATTTTTTTTTGTGCGTGTGTGTTAGAGAGACCGTGATGTGTGTCAATGTGTCATAACGTATCTAAAGTGTTTTTCAAGTGTATTATGTTAATGTTGTATTTACGTAATCATCCATTTTTCTTACCAAATTATATAATAAAATGATTTTACAACTTTATGTAATCATGTTATAATTTGTTATAAATATTTTACCAATTTATCCATGCATAAATTAATAATAAATTAATAATAAAGCTAAACATTGTTAGAAACAACAATAATAAGAGACTCTAAACATCTCATCAAGATAGAAAAAGAAGTTATGGTTTCATGGTGTATTTTTCCATTTGCTGTCTCTTAAACCTACATGTAATGTTTTTTTATGTTTTCTTGAGGTTTAATAAAATTTTACTGTTTAAAAAAAAAAAAAAAAAAAAAAAGACAATAGTGTGTATCCATTGAAATAGAGTGGCTGTGTAACAAAGATCTACTCAAACTCCAATACAACGTCTAAAACAATGTCTTCATGAACCCCTATTTACTTTACGAAACATCTACTCAAACTCCAATACAATCTTGCTTTTTGACCTTTTACTTGGAGCTTTTTGCGTAAAAGCAAATACCCATCCTCTACAATTCCATGAAAATGACCACCACTAATTTTAACGCACATGGTTATCAATCACCAATTAAGACAACTCTTAAATACATATCATTAACTTTTTAGAAAAATTGCCTCGATTGGCCCTATACTCATCCCCATAGCCTCTCATTATTGTCCTTTACATCAATTATTACACAATGAATCAACAAATCATATCAACTGTAGTATAATGTTACACGACCCAACTAGATGCACCTGGTCAGGTCGGGTCGTGTTAAACCAGGTCCAACCCGCCACCATTGAAGCTGTGTTCTGATGAGGAGGTTGAAATGGCAACTAATTCATTCAAATCAGACACACTATCTTGTAAATTCAATAACAAATGCGAAGTGCTAAAGCTTAATGACGGTTTTGCCCTCGCCACCACAGGGACCTCAGCCTCACCCACAAGCATCTGAACCACATTTCGCATTGTGGGTCGAACCGCCGGGTCAGGGTGAGAACACACCAACCCAATCAACAATACTTTATGCATTTGTGTCTCGTCAAACTCGCCGGACAACCGTGGGTCCGCCGCCGACAACAACCGCTCCTCCCTGTGCAAACCCCATACCCACTCTACCAGATTACTATTCTCCCTGGTTTTCCCCACCGCGGTGGTTTCCCTTTCAATCGGTCTCCGGCCACTAGCCACTTCAAGCACCACCGCGCCAAAGCTAAAAACGTCTGTTTTCTCACTCGCTCGACCAGTTAATAAATATTCCGGTGCCAAATATCCCATGGTTCCGGCGGCCACTGTGGCGTCTGGAGACTTATCGTGCTCTGTTCTTCGGGCTAACCCAAAATCTCCTAATCTTGCGTTGAACCCTTCGTCTAACATTATGTTACTAGTCTTTACATCTCTATGAATCACTTGATTTTCGCATTCTTGATGTAAATAAGCTAAAGCAGAGGCTACACCCATTAAGATTTTGCTCCGGTGAACCCACGGGAGAGTCATTCTTGACTCAAAAAGTGCTTTATCAAGTGACCCATTTGGCATTAAGTCATAAACCAGCAAAATTTCACCTTTTTCGTGACACCAACCTTGTAATCTCACAAGATTCCGGTGCCGGAGAGTTCCGATGATCGATAGCTCTGATAGAAACTCAGCCATACCCTGACCACCGGTATGACTACACCTCTTAACGGCGATATTCTCGCCGGAATCTGATAATACACCCCTGTAAACAGTCCCAAATGCTCCATGTCCGATTACTCGTGTGGGGTCGAAGCCTTTCGTGGCTAATTTAAGCTCTTTGTATGAGAATTCTTTGGGGGCTTTTATAAATTCAGAAGCAAAAGGTTGTGGCTTTTTTGTATTTTTGACTTTCTTGGAGTAGACCCATATTAGTAAGAGCGTACACACGGCTAAAACAAATGCACCGGCAGTCACCACCCCCACCACCGCCCCTGCACCTTCTTTGCATAACTGGTTCTTACATTTGCTCTTCTTTTGTGTAGAATGGTGGGTTTGAGTGGAGTTTGACTCGGTTGGTGCTATCGATGGTGGTGGAATCTTGACTGAGTCAGCGGCAGGATTCGTGAAATTGGCGGTTGGTGGAGGTGGATGTGGTGGTGCGTCATCAAATGATGAGTTGAAGGTCCACCATTCAACCGAGTGGACTTCAGTGCTGCCTTGAGTGGACCCAGTGAATCCGATGAACATGAACTCGTTCACGTATTTATTGAGATCCATGGGGACGGATAGGACTGGAGAGCTTGGTTTTATGTTGGAGTATGAAATCGAGATGTTGAGTTGCTGAGTTGTGCCGTTGTACTCCACCCACGAGTTAACCTGGTCGCCACTTCTCAGATCAATGTTGACGGAATCCAAATCGGCAACGTCGGCTGAAATCATCGAGTTAAGATCCACACCCAAATGGTTTCCATTAATATCTTTAAACTCAACGTCCATTAAGGTATCAAATTCGATAGCAATGGCGCCAGTCGGAATACCCATGTACCCTCCGGCGTCCCCTGTGTCTTCGTCGCCCGGCGAGATCACAAAAGCCAAACCACCACCAATCGAACCTGGGTTTAAGTTGGTAACCGAAAACGAGAAGAAAGTGGTGAAGCTCGCCGGAATCGTGGTTCCAGGCCGCTTGAACCTGATAGGTTTGTTGTACAGAACTCCTCCGGCACCGGAGTTTGGAACAGCGAGCTCACGAGTGAGCATGATGCTCGTGTTGACCAAGTGAGCATCACCAAGGAGCTTCAAGCTACTCAGAGAAAGTGACTGGAAGTCAAACGAGATTGTTCCGGCGACAGCATTACCGGAAAAGTATAACAGTAGCAGAAAATATGGCAGAAAAGAGGCAGTGTTTTCGCCGAAAATAAATGAAAGCATAGCTATGTTAGATCTGTTGAAAACCCATCAAAGATTTTGGTCCGAATTTTGTTTTGTTGGGGGAGAGATCGAATGGCGGATTATTCGATCACGAGATTGCAGGGAGATTGTAGAGAGAGAGAGAGAGAGAAAAAAGCAGAAATGTAGATGATGATGGAAAGAAAATGTAGAGGGATATGGAAGAAGGAGACAGGTGGCTGAGTTGGAAGACACGTGTCAGACACAACGGTCATATTTCCCGGTCCACCGTGTGAAGATTCTCCATCCATTCCCAAATAAACATGACTTTCCACGATGTATAATGTTAACTTATATTATATTTTATTTGTCAAAGTTCTTTTTTAAAAAGATAGATATTATGTAAAGCCAGTAAGATTTTATTTATTTTATTTTATTTTTTATAAAAAATAAAATGTGATATACTTTCTTTAACTTAAAGAATATTATTGTCTCAGCATATTTCTTTTAGATTTTAACAAATGTATGTCGAGATATTAAATGCAAATTAATCAATGCATCACTATAATAAAACATATGGCTAATGAATATTGTTATTATATCTGCTATTTTTTGTCTTTTAATAACAATAATAGTATAGTTGTAGGAAGCATACCTATAATATCATAGATTTTTAGGATAAACTGTATATGATATAATTTTATCTATAATTAATTTATATTTTAATACATGTTTTCCATAATTGAACCTTAGAATATTATATTGTAGATTTATAGTTAAATGATGAACTCTAAATACCAAAGGCGGGACCCTTTACCAGAAATTAATTTCTATATATAAACAACTTAATCATCGAATTAGCCGTTGATATAAATTTGACAAATACAACACAACGGTATTTTCGCTTTGACTTTTGAGGCTGTGGTGTGTGACTTTTACTATGTGTTTCATGGTGTGGACATGACATTTCACATGATTGTTTCTCTTTTGTTTTGTTTATTGAAAATCAATGGAAACTCTATGCCCTTATATGCATATGTGGTCATTTGATTAATGAAAATGCTACATATTTCAGCAATTTCAAGCATGTATTGATATATTATTTGTCATAGAGAAATGATTGATGGAAAGTTTGTTTATTCGTTAAGGGAATTCATGAGCGTTAAAAATGATTTAAGTTTGTTTAATTACATGAAGGGACACAACAATAGATATAAATTTTATGTTTCAGATATTTCAGATGATCGTGGAAAAGCAAATGCGTGATCGTACACATCCTTCGACGATATATATTTTGGAGATTTATGATGATATTGATTTGGGACACTCTGATATATGATTTCTACTTTTGAGAACAACGTTTTGTAAACGATTGGTTTTGATTTAGGTTTTGTCAGAAACAATGATTTCTCTTGATTTTTAAAAAATGAAAAATATTATCGTGGTTTTTGGGATGTTACAACTCATCTGGTCAGCACATACTACCACACGGGCAAGTATAGTGAGAGGAGATTCACCTCGTAAGTAGCAGCTAAATTCCACAGCTCTCACTCAACAAGGACCGATCCTACATGACACCTAACAACAATAAAGAGTACCCCTCAGTCTGAAATCCAAAACCCTTAGTGTAACCAAAGTCAACCATGGTAAAAAAAAGTTAACATCAGTCAATGGTCACGTCGTGACCACCCAGAGGTTGACTGGAAAAGGAGAAAATAGTTGCAGACACCACATATCATGACGTGACAGGCTATTGCTTACGTCGTGAGATCTACTCTGGCCAACTTTTGAGCATTAAGCTCGGTAACGCCTTATTTATGGTATGATTTTAATTCAAAGTATTGCATTTTTCCTAAAGAACTTGTCGAGTTGGAAGCCCCAACTCGACATGTTGAAGTTGTTCTGGCCGCGGGGTTTCATGAGACAACTCGACGGGTTGAGGAGTCTCAACTCGACGAGTTGACCGCTCTAGAGGAAACTCTAATTTTAGGGTTTTGCATCCTATTTAAACACCTTAAGTCCCAGGTGTTGGCCTCATTTATAGCCTCCAAAGTCCATAACCCTAATCTCGAAACCCTAAAGCCTTTTTGAGTGTTGTGAGCCATTTGAGAGTGTATTTTGGTATGTTTGAAGCCACTGGAAGAAAGAGAAGCTTGGTGCAAGGTGGTGATTTAGGTTGGAGCCTTCAAGATCTTGATTCTTTGCTTCATTTCCAATATATTTCTGGTATAAAGTTCTAACCTTGCTTAATATTTTATTAGATCTCTTTTTGGGTTAGTTTTGAGGCTTTTAGCCATGTTTTGGTGATTGGTGGGGTTAAAGGTCGTCCCAAGTGCTATTCTTTCAGATCCATGATCCTCTTGAGCTCTTTTGACATAAAGGAGCCAACATTATGGTCTTAAGGGCTCCATATATGCATTAGGTCCATCTTATGGCTTCTTTCGAACATTTGAGTCTCTTCCAAGCATACTTGAGAGTAAAGTTGGAAACTTAACGTGTGTTTGCAGCCTTTAAGGACCATATCTGTATTTTGGGGGTTTGTTTTGGTGAATAAATGCTTATTGTTTAAGCCTTAACCTTTTAAGCTTAGGGTTTGGGTTCTATACCCATTAGGATGGTTCTTAAGGGTAAAGTTGGAAACTTTACCCTCCTAGTCGATATTTTAGTCCAGATCTGAGTGGTGGACCTTTTAGTTTCGAGAATGGTGACTTAATGGATTAAGATGTGTGTTTCCTGAAGAACTCGACGAGTTGGATCAAATTTTCCCGATTCTGCTGGCTAAAGGGGAAACTCGTCGAGTTCATGGGTGAACTCGGCGAGTTGGACCGACTTTTCGCGGTTCTGTTGATTAATGAGGAAACTCGGCGAGTTGAAGAACAACTCGACGAGTCGAGTCAACTCGGGACGTTGACTTTGACCAATTTTGACCTTTATGGGGTTTTAAAATATTGATTGGTATCTAAGGGATTCTTTCTATTTAGGGGTTAAGTAGAGCTGATTTTCTGGGGCTGGGATTTATCCAGTTATCATTTAGCATTCGAGGTGAGTTTCCTTACCGGGTTTAGCGGGTCGAAGGCACCAAGGTCGGCCCATGTTTATACTATGCTGTTAGTATGCTAGTTGTCTTCGTGACTCTTACATGTGTTGTGTTTATATGTTTTCCGGGTTAAGGCCCGATGTCGGGCGGGGCCTAATGGATATTTGTATGCTATGTATCTATGTGATTATTTCATGTGTATGTGTTTATTTTTTATATATGCTATTGAATGTTGGGTGGGGCCTGTTTTACCAAGCTTAGCTCGATGCCGGGCGGGGCCCAATGCCGGACGAGGCCCGATGCCGGACGGGGTCCGAAGCCGGGCGGGGCCCACTATATGTTATTGTATGATTGGTATGTGGTATTTTGGGGGAACTCACTAAGCTTTGTGTTTACGGTTTTTTAGTTTATGTTCCAGGTACCTCTGGTTCCAAGGGGAAGAGCTCGGAATGACTGCATCACACACACCATTGGATTTTTTCTTATGATGTTTTTAATGGGTTTTACACAAACAATCCTATGTGTGCATGCAACCCTAATTTGATCTATGTTTTCACTATTAGACATACAACTTTATGAACACAAAAAGAAACCTGACATGCTCCTACAATTTTCGAAATTCACATAGAAGAATAGAACACATACCTTTTGTTGTTATGTAGTAATAACAACTTGTTTCTTGAATCTCCTTAGCTTTGAAAGCAAGTACCACAAGTGTAGTACCTCTAATGGCTCACAAACACACTTGAGTGAAAGGATGAATATGAGAGAGAGGATGGAGGGTAACAAGCTCACAAAATCGGCTCTGCTAGGGTTTCTCCAAGGGGTTCCGATTTTGAGTGCCTTAGGGTGTTATTTATAGTTGAAGTCAACTAGGGTTTCAAGGTGGAAACCCTAATCCCTTAGTTTAGGGCCTAAGCAAACCCATTGACTCCTTTCCTTAAGCCATTAGATGAAAACTCCTAGATCATTCTAGGATTTTCGGACAAGCCTTAATAAAGGTGATCCAATGGCCCAAAGTCTCCACTATCAAATAATTACAAAACAGCCCCTGCAATTTAATTAATTCCTTTAATCCCAAAATTAATTCCTAATTAATTTATGATTAAATACTAATTAATAATATGATTCCAAATTAATATATTATTCATATAATATATTAACAAATCATATTTATACCCCAATTTATTATTCTTAACAATAAATCAGCCTCTCTCCTCAATAGTCATCATGTCTAGTCACCGGTGTGAAGGCAACCCAAAAAGGATCATGCTACAAACGGGTCAAGTACATACCAAATATAGTTATGGACTTAGACACTAATCCAACAATTTTACTCTGATTTATGACAAATTGATACATTGGTTTATTTCAAATGTTTGGATGATATGAAAATTACTATTTTATCTATTATTTAAATTGAAAATTTTTTGGGACCATATTTTTGGATGTTACAAGCTCTTAATCCCTTAAGTCATTCCTTGAGACTTTCCAGAGAGTCTCCCCCAACCCTAAGGACCATAAAAATCAAAGCTTTGAATTCATGCATGCCCAATGCATGACTTGAACACCAATTAGGTAAAAAAAAAAGAGGGAAAATGAGATCAAGACTCATGATTGGAGTCTAAATCAATACCAAAACTCAGATCTGAACTCATACTAAAAGGAAATGCCTCAATGACCCATAAAGTTGCTAAATTTATGGATCCCATGCATGATATCAAACCCATCCATAAAAAGGAAAGCATAAACCTTAAATATAGTATGCATTAGAGATAAAGGTAGAAGCTTTATGACATACAAGGGTCTAAAAGCACTGCAAGGTGATGAGGTAGGAGCTTGATTGCCAAAAGAAGGCACCAAAGGAGTCTTCTTTTTATTCAAAGAGCCAAAAAATCACTACATGATCACCAAAAATCACTATGAAGAACTAGGGTTAGCATTTATGAGGTTTAGAGAGATGGAGGTTGAGAAATGAACCCTAAAACCAAGTTTAGGGTGCTTAAATACGAAGCAAACATTAAAAGATCATGTGTTTGGGCTGCAACAGTTCTCATGTCGTGAGCCTCTATGCCTCACGTTGTGAGATCAGTCTCGGACACAATTTACATTTTAACCCATGTCACATCGTGACTACTCAAAGGTCACATCGTGAGACTCCATATCTTCCAAAAATTGACATTTTGACTCCTTGAACCCCTAAATCGATCCATCCTGGAAAACGGATGCTACACAAATTCTTAAATAAATGACCCCGCGATTAACGTGTACATCTTACCATATAAAAGCTTGTGAATGTGTTAATGTTGTGAGATGGTACCTACGAGATGTTCGAGAAGTTCGCCATTTCACTTTATAGCTCTAAAGGAGTAGATTTATTTATTTTTTGCTTAGTGTCTTTTTCATCATCTATATCAAAGATATTGAAGGATCGTGATGTTGATAAAAAATGGTGAAATTTAGAGGTGTCATTGAGATGACTAAGCTTCATTATTAAGAGCATGAAGGTGTCATTGAGACAACTAAGCTATATTATTAAGAGCATGGACTCATTTGAACAACATCATAAGGTTTTTAGGATGTATAATTCAAGGTTTGTGTAACAAATATTTTGGTAGAAGTTGTAATGGCTTACATTATTGTTTATTTGACCTACATTTAACATGGTATTTTTACAGGAACGGAAGAACAAAAGTTTGAAAATAATTTCTTACTTAAGGTTGCTTTAGTTATTATGATCATAGTAGTTTTCTCATTATGCATGGTACTGTTTGTATTTTCTATGAAAATACTTGTAATATCTCTACTATTAAGCAATGTTCTAAGTAACGATAGATATGACTTGACGGCAATGTCAAATTTCAAGTTTTTACGAGCCGTCGCTAGCCACATCGTTTGTAAGACGTGATTTAAGACGACAATCTGTATACAATTAATAATTATATATATATATATATATATATATATATATATATATATATATTCTACTATTATTCATATTTATAGACATATATGACTTAAGATAATATTTTTTTTTTAAAAATGTGACGTACAAACTTTGGAGTCATGACGCGACGAACTTTTTAGGACCTTGCTGTTAAATGTTTTGAAAATTTTTTATTATCTTTCAGAAAATAGTAAATAATACTAGATGTATTTATTTTTTTCTATTTTTTTTATCATTTATGATTATATTATTATGATTTTACCATTCATGTTTTTGTATTAAACTTAAATTAAGATGATTGGGGTTATATATAATTTAATTTAGAAAATATGTTACACATAGAGCTTGATTGAGTTACCGACTATAAATACATTTTTGACACTTTTTCAAGGTAAAATTATAAAATTAATTTCGTTTAAGTTCGTGTCCCCCCTCACTCAGAAAGGTTTCTCCTGAAGAACCCAAGAAACCACACGCCTCGTTCTCACCTCACCTTGGTTCTTTGCCCGCCTCTCTTCTCTTGCTCCTGCGACTCGGGTTGATTGAAGGTTCGTACTCTACATCTCTGGATTAACGGTTCGTTTTTCTATGTTATATTGCTCAATCTATCTGCTTGTTAAAATTAGGGTTTCTGTTTCAATTTGAAATTCGCGTTTCTATGTTACGCGATAACAGAACATTCAATCTGATTGGTATTTTGTTCTATTTGAATCCAATTCTGTGTATATATGGGTGATTTGAATCAGTTATTCAACAAAAAACATTCATACGATAATTTGAAGTTTAGGGATGCTTGTATTGGAATTTTGTTTAAACGCCTTCTTCGTTTGAACTCATGTTCTTGTATATGTTGGTGCTGTAATGGACATGGCAGCTGTAATCGATATGATGTACTCGGGTAGCAGAAACACCAGAGATTACCTTCTTCCACTTTCCACACGTATTTTTGAAATTGAGAGTGATCTATTCATGGGCAAAATTGCTGCTACGGTAACATCACATTGTTTGATTTGTGTTGAATGACAATGACAAGACTTATCTTGTATGAAGTACTCCACATGTTGAATTGGACTTGTCAAGTGATAGTATCATGACTTTAGGTAACATGTGATAAACTTTGTATCCCTGAATGTATTTTTTTCCTAGTTATGTGTCCTTAAACCTTGATTATGTATGCTTTGAGCATCATTGCCAATCTTATTCCCCGTAAATAAGAAACTCTTTGTTCTGTGCTTTTGGAAGTTTTTTGTTCTGGACTACACTGCTACTTATGTCATTATATTGTTTAACTTACATTATCTTTCCTTTTTAATGATTGGTGACAGGTTGACCATCTTTGCATTTAATATCCTAAGTCATTATGGAACCTGAGCGTTCTGATACAAGACGTGTACATGATGACATGGAAGATAATGGAAATGATAAATCAAGAGAATCAAAGCATCGTAGTAAGGAGAAAAGTAGGAGTAGTAGAAGAGAAGATAAAGATCACAGAAGTAGAGATCGTGAAAAGTCAAAGATCAGTGATGCTTCAAAAGATAGAGACAAAGAGTCTGTGAAAGATGTTAACAGAGACCGAAGAAAAGAAGAGGGAGATGAACGTGAAAAAGATAGAACCAGAGATAAAGTGAGAGAGAAAGAAAATGATCGGGAAAAATACAGAGATAAAGAGCGTGAAAAGGAGAAAGATAAGACCAGGGATAGGGACAGGGGAAGTGATAAAGGGAAAGAGAGGACAAGGGAAAAAGAGAGAGAGAAAAACAAAGATAGGGAGAAAGAAAGAGATGACACTAAAATCCTTAAGAATGAAGCTAATGTTGACGATGAAAATGGAGGATCACAGCAGTCTGCTTCTGAACTTCAAGATCGCATTTTGAGGTAAGAAACATCATTATATATCTAAAAATGAGTTTCACAAAGCAAGATTTTTAGAATTTAAACGCTCATATTACTTACCATGTGAGACACCCTTTATAACACTTTTTATGAAACATATGAATGCCCTGTTTTGCAAATTTCTTAGCAACTTTATTGCATAAGGAACATTGTTAAATCAACATAAGTATATTTTTGTAGGTGTTTCTTGTTGTTATTCAGAGTTTGCTAAACAAATTGTTCAATCTATTGATGGGTATCATTCTTTATTAGGATGAAGGAGGAACGATTGAAGAAAAAGTCAGAAGGTGGCTCTGATATATTATCATGGGTTGGTAAAAGCCGAAAGCTTGAGGAAAAGAAACAAACTGAAAAGGAGAAAGCTTTGCATTTCTCAAAGAAGTTTGAGGAGCAGGTTAGTTGTATTCTATTCTCTATGTTTTCATGTGTAAGTTAGCTTGATTTCTTTATTTTACATCTGATTTAAATAAATCTTGAAATTTCAGGACAATATTACTCAAGGAGAGGATGAATACGAATTGCCAGCTCGCCAACATACATCTCGTATGTTTTTTTTTATTTTTTTATCTATTGTACATTTGATTAAGATAGTTTTATTTTTAAATTTTGTCTTAAAATCTTCTTTGAAATCATGTTTGCAGGTGATCTTGCTGGATTTAAAGTGCTTGATGGGCTTGACAAAGTGATTGAAGGTGGTGCTGTTGTTTTGACACTGAAAGATCAGAGCATACTTGCAGATGGTGATATTAACCAAGGTAAATTAGTTTTTTAATCTGGCCAATTTGCTGTAAATAACAACATACTCTACCTTTTTCTTTTTACCAATTTATTCTATTGACCATATTGGTAAATAAAGTATGTTGTTATTACCTTTCTAGTGGACCCAGATTTTCTAAAGTGACTTTACATTGTATACACAGAGGTTGACATGCTTGAAAATGTGGAGATTGGGGAGCAAAAAAGGAGAAATGAAGCTTATAAGGCTGCTAAAAAGAAACCTGGAGTTTATGAGGATAAGTAAGTAATAAGTTTAAAACTTAAGATTTTGTGGTTTTTTAACGAGTAATATGTAAGCTTTTTTTCTGGTGATTTTGCTTCAGGTTTAATGATGAATTTGGAGCTGAAAAGAAAATGCTTCCACAATATGATGATCCTATTCTAAACGAGGTGATTATTGATTTATTATATATTTATTTAAAATTTATTTTATTGACCATATACTTTCTCCCAGGGTATAACACTTGATGAAAGAGGGCGATTTGGTGGTGAAGCTGAGAAAAAACTAGAGGAGGTAAATCTTTCTTGTTCTTTTTATCTTTTTTTTGGATTCTAATTCTTATTATATTTTTTAAATTAAAATTTGATCTATATATAACAGTTAAGGAGAAGGATAGATGGTGCAACTGTGACCACACGATATGAAGATCTTACTTCAACTGGAAAGGTCACAACCGACTATTACACTACCGAAGAGATGATGAAATTCAAAAAGCCCAAAAAAAAGAAATCACTAAGAAAAAAAGACAAACTAGATCTCGATGCGCTCGAAGCAGAAGCCAAGTCAGCAGGGTTGGGCACAGAGGATCGTGGCTCACGGGCCGATGGAAAAAGACAAGCCCAAAAAGAGGCCCAAGAGAGATCCGAAGCCGAAAAAAGAAACATCGCGTTCCAATCCGCATACATCAAAGCAGATGAAGCATCTAAAGCACTCCGAATGGAGCAAACTTTACCCATTCAAAACGCAGATGAAGATAGTTTTGTATTCGGTGATGACGATGAAGAGCTGAACAAATCCCTACAAAGGGCAAGAAAACTTGCGTTAAAGAAGAAAGATGACGTGGCACCTTCCGGGCCCCAGTCGATCGTGTTACTCGCAAGTTCCGTTAGTAAAAACGCTGATGTGGAATCCAGCGAGGCGCAAGAGAATAAAGTCGTGTTTACGGAAATGGAGGAGTTCGTGTGGGGTCTTCAGCTTGACGAAGAAGCGCATGACCCGGATGCGGAGGACGTGTTTATGGAGGATGACGTGGCGATGACGTCATCGGAACGGGAACAGAAAGGTAAAGAAGGTGGTTGGGAAGAAGTGAAAGATGAAGTTGAAGATGAGAAAATGGCGGAGGAAGAGGAAGATGTGAAACCGGATGAAACGATTCACGAGAGTTCACTTGGAAAAGGGTTGTCTGGAGCACTTCAGTTGCTTAAAGACAGAGGGACTTTAAAAGACACTGTGGAATGGGGTGGTAGGAATATGGATAAGAAAAAGAGTAAACTCGTTGGGCTTGTGAATGAAAATGATGATAAAAAGGAGATACGGATTGAAAGAACAGATGAATACGGAAGAATTGTAACTACTTTAGTCGTTATATTATATCTTTAAAATTTATTTTTTGATCGTATAATAATAATAATAATGTTTTATTTATTTATTTATTGTAGTTGACACCGAAGGAGGCGTTTAGGTTGATTTCACATAAGTTTCATGGAAAGGGTCCAGGGAAAATGAAGCAAGAAAAGCGAATGAGACAATACCACGAGGAGTTGAAAGTGAAGCAAATGAGAAATTCGGATACGCCGTCTTTGTCTGTTGAGAGAATGAGGGAAGCTCAATCCAAGATGAAGACACCTTATCTTGTTCTAAGTGGTCATGTCAAACCAGGGTACGTGTACATTTCTTATTTTATTTTTCTTTTCTTTTTTGCACAATGATTTTAAAATAAGTTTTGTTGAATGCTTAGGCAAACAAGTGACCCGAGAAGTGGTTTTGCTACAATGGAGGATTTCCCGGGGAGCTTGACGCCCATGCTTGGTGACAGAAAGGTTTCTGCTCATTTTTTCTTTTTCTTTGGTGTAAGTTTAAATTTGTGTTGTTTATCTGAAATAATGTGTTTGTTTTGTTTAAGGTTGAACATTTCTTGGGGATAAAGCGGAAGTCTGAGCCTGGTGATATGGGCCCACCAAAGAAGCCACCTAAACCGTGATTAATTAATTGCTGCTGGTTTAGAAGAACCGACATCTGTGTTTCTGTAATTTTGTACGCACTAGCGAATGGGCTATTATTGATAAAATAGATGCAAAGTGATGTGAGTGAAATTTGCAGAATTCTTTTGGGAAGTTTCGGGAGATTGTGCGTGAGGTTGTAAACGGACATGAACATTATGGTTTCCTTGTCCTATAGACTATAGTAGATGGAATGAATTTAGTTTTTGCATTGTATTCATATCATTTTCAGACCCGAGTAGTCTCTATATACAAAATCTTATTATTTTCTCAAGTAAAAGTACATTATTTGCTGGTCACACGCACATGTAAGCTTCTATCCATTAGATCACCCACAGTTCCACAGGGGGCTTTCAAAACCTTTTGCAATCCACTTGGGCCAACTCCTTTCAAATATTGAAAGGGGTGCAAATGATATTTAATGTTAAACAAATATTTTCTATTTTAATATTTTATTTATTTAATAATTTTTTTAATTATATTAACATATATAATAGAAGCTTTATTTATGCTGTTTTTGTTTTTTTTGTTCTTCTATTTATATGATTAAATTTCAGTTATTATTATTTTTTTTTTTGGAACGAGAGAAATTTTAAAAAAAGGCTAGCTAGATTTCGAAGCCACTCGGTTATAGTTTTCCTTACTTTATGGTTCATACTACAAAACCAATTAAAAGAAAACGAAACAATATAATCAAACATCAACTCTCTCTTGTACTACATGATCCCAAAAACTAACGCATTTTGATAAGTCCAAAAAACCAAAATTAAAGTAGCACAAACCATCTCAATGACCAATCTTCGAGCATTTGCAACAACTTGACTATCAATCCACTCGACAACATCTTCAATAGAGTTAAATGATGGCACCATCAGATCTATCTATCTTGCAGCCATAATTGTCGAGCCATCGAACACTTCAAAAATAAGTGAATACCATCTTCTATCACCTCCCTACAACATGAACATAAAATAGAAGACAAATCAATTCCCCGATGATGAAGGTTACTCATCGTCAATAAACAATTAAGGATAAGCCTCCATATATAAATATTAATTTTTATATGAAGAGAAATATTCCACCTGGTAGCACCATCACCCATAGGAAGCGACAGGAGGTCTAAACAAGATCTGACAGACTTGACAACAAACATGTCCTCCACCCCAAAAACCCATCTCCACGAGTCCAATCTATCCATAATTTGAACCGAATCCAACATCTTCCGTAATTGCTGAATTTGGGTTCCAACACCCCCCACTCATCGATATCCACCATATAATCTCCTAAGTATTACCCACCAAATAATAACTAATAATTGCCTCACCATTGACTGCCACAACAAACAACCTTGCAAATCTAGCCTTTAAAATAACACCCCCACCCACACATCCAACCAAATTCTAATACTGACACCATTACCTACTTGTCTGCTCATAGAATCAAACAAAATCTTACCATTATTATGAAGATTCCAAACTAAATTAACCACCCTCATCCAGATCCCCAGCTTCGACCTATAAGAAGACAACGAAAAACCATCATCACTCCCATGACAACTTTCGATCAAACTAACCCAAAGGAGATTACCACCGTTTAGGAATCACCATCTCCACTTGTAAATTAAAGCCTCATTGAAAGCTTTCAAACTACCAATCGCCAACCCGCCATACTCTTTCTCGTTTAAAATAACCTCCCATTTCACATACTTGAAAATTTTATGCACCCCAAAAAAATGTAGCCCGAATGCTCTCCAACTTCCGACAAACAGTAACTGACATCCTAAAAAGAGATAAATAATAATTTCTCAGACTCCCTAAAATAGACTTAACCAACATATGTAACGACCCAATTTTCAAGGCCAACAATTTCATTTTTGAATTAACAAATTAAATAAACATTTTACCAAAACATTGTCGATAAAACATCCCATTACAAAATCATATTGTTGTGTCTCAAATCATAACATCAAAAGTAATGAAAATCAGAGTACAGTCCCAAAAACTCCTTGCGGAAACCATGTGTGTGTGTGATGCGCTGCTACACCGCCGGCTCCTTCCCCTTCGACGAAAAGGTACCTAAAACCAAAACCAAAACTGTAAGCACAAAGCTTAGTGAGTTCCCCCATCATACCACATACCATACAATATCGTCGGTATCTTTCAACCGGTAACCTTCATCGGTATCTTTCAACCGGTAACCATCATCGGTATCTTTCAACCGGTAATTATCATCGGTATCTTTCAACCGGTATCCGTTATCGGTATCTTTCAACCGGTAACTGGTGACTATTTCACCCCTACCACTAGCATACAATCAACAGATATAAGCATACGGTCAGGCATATCCGGGTACTGACCTACCCTTTAGTCCTAAGGACCACTGTCAGAGAAACTAATCCCTACTATACACATAACATATCATCCAGATAAATCTCATAACCAAAACACATAACCAGACCAAGATAATTATCACAAAGACCATTATCTTCTAAATACCCCTTTTTGGTGGGCCGACATTGTGGCCTTAGACCCACCCCTACTGGAAGGTAACTCACCTCAATGTCGTGCAGTGTTTGAGTTATCCTCGGCGCACAAGTCGACTCCCTACGACTCCTCGATCCTTACACGACAACCTTCAAGTCAACACACAGCACGTACAACCCTAAACAGGATTAGTCCAAGTCCAGTCAAAGTCAACTTCAAGTTGACCCGACTCGCCGAGTTGGGCCGTCAACTCGCCGAGTCCCTCACCCTTTACTCGCCCTTATCCACGTCTCGACTCGTCGATTTTGGCATCGACTCGACGAGTTCCTCACTTATATGAACACCGCATGAAACTCATCCGACTCGCCGAGTTGTATGAACACTCGTCGAGTCCACCTTCATCTGATGAACAAGTCCTGTCCTCGACTCGCTGAGTTGTATGAACAACTCGTCGAGTTCATCTTCAATCTTAAGAAGATTGCCTTGGACTCGCCGAGTCTGTTCTAGTACTCGTCGAGTCCCATGAACTCCAGGTCTAAGATTACGTCCAGTGTGTTGAGTCACTCTTTCTGTCCGGTTACAACCCTTCTAACACTCAACTGAGTCCCTTTGACCCTCAACAGTTATGGGACTCAAGGCCTCGGACTCGTCGAGTCCCAGGAACAGACTCACCGAGTCGGTCACGTCCACACTCTAAACTCGATTTCTGATGTACAAGCTTTGATCAAAAGATAGATCCAAGCTTCTACAATCGATCTAGCACGCAAAGTTACAAACTTTACGTGCTTGCATGGGACTTTGAGCTCAAAAAGACATAAAACAAGCTCTTATGATGCATGGGACCTTTCATGGGTGCAAAAGCAACCCCAAACTGCCTTGTGACTCCTTTAATGACGTGATTCAGAAGCTTTAACCCCCAACCATGTTTGCAAACATGGTTGGCCATCACAAATGGCTTATAAAAGCCCTAAATCTCCCCAAAGAGGGATCTAACAAATGAGTGAGCAAGTTAACATCTTTTTACCTTCAATGAACTGTAGAAGGTGCACAAACTCGGGTTCCCTTGGCCTCTACTTGCTTCCTTAAGCTTTTCTCCTTCCTTATTAAAACAACAAGCACCAAAATCCACCAACAAAGCTTAGATTGCTTCAATAACGGCTAGGGTTTCAATGAGAGGTGTTTTGGGAGCATAAGGGACGATATGGCCGACATAACATGGTTTAAATAGGGTCCAAACCGTCGGATTAGGGTTTTTGTCCAGACAGCGTCTACTCGTCGAGTCCGGGGTCCGACTCGTCGAGTCCATCGCTTAAATCCCGCGTCCCATCCTGCTTCTACTCGGCGAGTTGGTCCTTCAACTCGCCGAGTCCAAGGCCAAAATACAAGATTTAAAATAATTAATAAAAAGAAATACGTACCAAGAACCATGTGCTACAAATCTCCCCCACTTATTTTAGACTTCGTCCTCGAAGTCTGCTTCTCGTTCCTGAAACAGCTCTGGGTAATGCTCCATCATCTCATCCACCGGTTCCCAAGTCCATTCCGAGCCCTTCCGATGCTGCCATTGCACCTTCACGAGTTCCACTCTCTTGTTCCTCAGATCCTTCGACTTCCGGTCGAGGATCGCCACGGGCCGCTCGATGTAATTCAGGCTGTCATCAACCTGAATGTCCTCCAATGGTACCACTGCTGAGTCGTCCACCAGGCACTTTTGCAGCTGAGACACATGGAAGGTGCTGTGTATCTGACTGAGCTCGGCTGGCAGATCCGGCCTATACGCCACCTTGCCCACCCGGGCTATAACCCTGAACGGTCCAATGTATATGGGGCCCAACTTGCCCCGTTTCCTGAATCGGATAACGCCTTTCCATGGCGACACCTTCAGGAGAACCATATCCCCGACCTGGAATTCCAAGTCTGATCGACGCTTATCGACATAGCTTTTCTGCCGACTCTGAGCAGTCTGAAGCCTGCTCCGGACCTGCTGAATCTTCTATGTCGTCTCGAGCACTACCTCAGTGCTCCCCATTACCCTCTGGCAAACCTCGCCCCAACATATCGGGGTTCTGCACTGTAACGCCTGGGTTTCAGTGCTAAGCATTTTAGACGATGTAATAGTCTAGGTCAACTATTGTAACTCTTTTTGAAGTAATAAAGATGAAATATTTGAGTATTATGTGAATTATGTGTATTTATGTGTATTTATGTGTTTATTATTTAATTATAAATGTATAATTAATAAAGAATAAAAATAAGCGTCAAAATTAAAGTGTGAGATAAGCCCGATATCTTTATATAAGGTTGTAGTGGTTGAAACAAGGATTCCGGGGATATAAAGAACGCCGAAATCCGAGTTATAACGAAGAAGTTATGACCCGTCGAAGTTTCGCGACGGAACCGGCACGATACCGGGAAGCGTAAATAGTGAATTTACGATAGAGCGAGTTTTAGCCTTAGCGGTCTAAACGAAAGTCGTAGAGTATGTTAAACTAAGAGCGTCGATAAAAAGAACGCCCAAATCTGACTTCGTATGAGGAAGTTATGATTTTCCGAAGTTTCGGATTAGCAGTATACAACTCGAAATTCGAATAATAGATCGAGCGGTTTTTAGCCGACATGACCTAAACGAGAATCGAATATCTCGTTATTTGTAGCATAACGAGAAAAAGATGGGCGAAAACGGACGTCAGATGAAGAAGTTATGAATTTTTAACGGACCAATCCTGTCCTGGCCTGTTAATAATGTAACTTTTAAA